CTTCGGGTTGCGACCAATTCGGGTTGCGGCCAGAGTCACGGAACGAATTAAGTTCGTAACCCGAGGTACCACTGTATTTGGCAGAGGGTCCTCTGCACAAAACAGAAGGAAATGGTCCAGCTGCTTGAAAAGGAGCCAAGAATTCAGAGTCTGAACAAGCATCTCGCTTTCATTTCTGCTATTTCCTTTTCATAACCTTTGGTCGGAGCAGGGGATGACCGGATCATTTAAAAAAATGAAAAAGGGGCGGGGGGCAGGAAGGGCCGAATGAAAGCAGCCCAAAGCAAGCCGAATTTGGATGGAAGAGGCAACCTGGAAAAGCGGAAAGAGGGGAGCAAGGGGCCCCGATCCAGTTAAAACAATCCAGCGTGGCCAATTCTGAGCTGGTATCCCCAACGGGACTCTGTCAGAGAAAGCAATTTAAGTGTAAGTAGGACGAGTCACGGGTCAGAAATATTGCTGGTGCACGTTGCTGCACCAGGCTTAGCAGTTAATTACTATTTGTCTTCTCCGAGCAGCACAAAGCCATCTTCCAGCAGAGAGGGGTCTGCCCAGGATGACTTCCACGCTCCCCAGCGAGAGCTTTTCCCCACTTGCATCTAAAGCAAGGTTAGGGTTGGCCACCCCCTTGTTCTGCTGCGTCCCCAGGATGTGCCCCACACCCCTCCTCACCCCACGGATGGAGGTGCCCTCAAGCCAGCTTCCCCAAGGAGGTCCTCGGAGGGATTAAAAAAGGCCCCGGGGCAGCTGTGACCGTGTGATGGAAGCCCCCTCCCTTTTTATGTGCATCTTGACTTTTGGGGACCCCCGCTTTTGCCTTGGGAAGCACAAAGGATAGGAATAGGTACCCCCTTTTTTAAAATTAGACCTTGCTTTTTAGCTTTGTGGGTTTCTTCCTATGAAGCGCTGTAGATCTTTTGTTTTAATGTTCTTAGCGTCACGATTTGTTTTGTTCTAGTCTATACTGATCCCTAAAGGCAATTTTATGGGATTGTGGAAAACTCTTGAGGCTGAAGATGCCGGATTTAAATTACACTTTAAAGCAGTGTTTCTCAACCTCAGTCCCTTTAAGATGTGTGGACTTCAACTTCCAGAATTCCCCAGCCAGCTTTGCTGGCTG